AGTCAACTTCTCGCTCAGAATAGATTGAATTAAAAAATTTGGAATTACTACAAAAAATATAGCAATATATATAATTGAATCAAATTTTACAACTGCATGTTAAAAAAAACATTTTTCTCCTCTCCCTTTTTTCCTTTTCTTTTTTTCAACCAAAGAAGGAAAGAAAAATGTCTTGACCTCGTTTTGCCTACAACACCACATTTTGTTACCAATTTTTCTCTTTAAAAGGTGCTGAAGTGGCACGGGGAAGGAGGGAAAGGGGTTAAATGATCCTTAGTAAGGGTGTTATTCAACGTTACGCTAATAGGTTTATTGGTATTTCAGATCAAAGACTCCATTGTGCGAAGTGTGTCAAATATTCAAGTGAATAATTTACAATCCTTGACTCAAGTGACGTCTGTGATCGCACGAGCCACACTGGAACCGAGTGAGGTGACATTTGATACACAGGTATGTACAGCGCTTACACATCGAATTCGGAGCGATGCTCCACCGATAAATGCTGAACTCTCTTCATCGAGAGGTTTCATTGTCTCAATTACATGATTACCTCAAAGAAAAGGGGTAGCCGAATATTCTTCTAACATTTGACGTTCATTGACTGCGAGACTTGAAAACAATCTTCCATCTATCTTTTAGGATCTTGCTCTTCAAACTTTAAGATCTATGACGTCATTGTTACGAAGCAAGACCAAAGAAGATTACGGTTCAGAGTCTGTCCTAGTTGAACAAGGCGGGGAGAACCTGGTACTGAGTCTGGGTAACATTCTCAACTCTGCTTCTCAGAAGGCAAGTGTGATCGAAAGAACAGCAGAGACATCGGAAATACGGTCCAAGGTGAATACCTTGCTTCATTGTTTTCTGAGTATTCTTTTCTGAATGTGTCCAAGCCCTCATTAATTCGTTGGCTCTTTCCCTGTTTCTTTGCGCGTTCTTCTTGGTGTTTTCATCAGTTTGTTCATTCATTTAGACAGTTTCCATCCATTTATCCATCCACTTATTCATTCATCAGTTCATTTCTTCTTTCATTTAACCCTTCGTTTTCATCTCCTCTTTCACTCTCCATTTTTCTCTTTCTGGCGGTGCATGTGTCTCTTCAACGCGAGGTCCGACTCCAAATCAAATACAAATATATACTCCCTCAGTTCCGTGTTTTTTTTTTTCGTTTTTAACAGAGCGAAAATGTCTCGAAAGACACAGCGAAGCTTATCGATGATGTCAGCGTTGCTCTCCTATCAAAAATGTTAGTGGACCAGGAACCCAACCGCGTGCAAACACAGTCCTTGAGCATGGTGCTCAACAGACTTAGTCCTAGATCACTGGGAACAGCGACAAATTTTACAGACGATCCTTATGCAGGAGAGTTCAAATTCTCCATTAACGCCATAACCGACGAGAGAGCGAGAGATGCTGAGTACATAGACAGTGTGGTAAGCAAAGTGAGCTTTCCCAGGAGATTTGAATGATTTTAAATTTGTAGTTATGTATGGTTTACTTCTTAGTTTCGTAGGAAAAACAAATGATTCGTCAGACATATTTCGGATACCTCTCCCCTCTTATTAAAGAAACTATCACACAAAAACTTTCATCAGTCTTTCCAAAACATGCATTTCTCTTACCCAGTTCTTAAAGGATTTCTTTGCGAAACTTTAACTGACTGGCTACTTTTTGGCCGTTGCTTTTACAATATATGTATCAAGGGTTCTATCCATCACTTCTGTGACGGCATCGACGCAAAATTCTACTATAAAACACAAAGTTGGTTTTCTTATTTTTCTATCAGATGACTCTGAGTACATTCAATCCTTTTACGTGGGACGACAGTGCATCCCGTGTTGATTCTAACGTCCTCAGCTTGACCATCAAAAACCACGAGGGTCAGACTTTATCAGTGAAAGATAGTGACGAATATATCGAGATGAAGATTCCACGTGAGGGCAATATTCAGCCCGAAGGAAGTGGCTTGTATTTTTCTAAACCCAGTAGTGAAGGAAAGATGCAGTACCATGTAGTGAGCTTGCAGCATGCGGACGGTGGCGCTGTAAGATTTAGAGTAAGTATTATGACTTAAAATTAACAAGAAACTGATTATGGAGGAGAGAATACGAGGACACCTTCCTTTAAAGGGAGAATGTGTTCAGCTTATGAGCAATATCTTTCAGAGGGCAGCAAGTGGAGGCGAAAATTGGATAGGTGTTGTTTAAATGAATGCTTAAGGAGGCTTAAATGTTTTCTTTTTAAGATACTGTAAGAATAAGGGATGCAAATTTGGATTTACCCGCTGTAAAACTTATTCGATAAGTTTCAGGAACCCGAACCATAGTGATCATAGCGAAAATCCGAAGAAAAGAGAATAGCAAAAAGGACTAAAAAGAGACTTAATGTTAAGCCAACGGCCAGAGGCGCAGAAAAAAGCGGGTGACCAAGATAAGGGGACTAGCTCTAGTTTTGCAAGTGACCAGTTAAAGGGGCGGTATCATTATTTTACACCAGTCCATAATGAAGTGGTTAAAAGCAGTGCAACCCTGGGACACCTTTGATGCTCAATTGAAAACTGCCTGAGGATAAAATGGTTACTCATCAAATCACTATTCTTTCAGATAAAACCAAGTGAAGGCAAAGTCATCTTTAAAGTATTCGTGCGATATGGCCAGCGACCAACTGTCACAGAGCATGATGTATCGAGGCAAATTCCGCATCCTTCGTGCGTGAAGTCCTCCCAAGATTCTTACAGCCATTGCAGAAATGATGCGTACGACGTCCTATTGTTACCTGACAAGGTGAACAAACCAGGAAAATACTATATTGGCATACTGTACGAAAATGATGAAGGAGAACTTCAGAGTCGACGTAAGAAACGGTCATGTTCCAGAGGGGGCCGCCAAAAGAGATCATGTGTGGAGGTTAAGGAAGCACCAAGACCTGAGAACATCACTGTAAAGCCAGTTTACGACCCAAAGACAGACGTGAATTATTCATTGAGTCTGCTGAAAGAAAACTGTCTGTTTTGGGACAGTAAAGAAGAACGTTGGTTATCAAGAGGTTGCAAAGTAGGTTTGTCTAATATTGCTTAAACCCAATTACATAGACAAGCATCACCCTCTCTTTTTTTTGCACCTCTTAACTGACCAAACATGAGTTGTCTCAAAAATTGAATGGGAGGAGGAGGGATGTTGAAAGATACTTATGACATATTTCATAGGGTGGGTTAAAATAATGGGAAAGGACAATTTGTGGGTATAAAAAATATGCCATCTTGAAATTCCACAGTAAAAGTAATTTCTGAAAGGAAGGTTAGTGTAGATCGTCCTGTGTTCCATGTGACGTCACAGTTTATTTACCATAGTGACTGATTTGCCTAAGCAAAGTTTAAGTTTGTAATCACTGAAAAACAAAATGCTGATATTAAATCCTCTTCAAAAATGCAATCTCTGAAAAACTAGTGCAAAAAATTATCTTTTTCAACTGTTCCTTGCCTCACATTACTATATTACGACGGGATTTCGGTTTTAAGGAGTTCGAGTTATTCCTATCTTTTCGATATGAAAATAATTTCACCCTCTTATCCTTTGACCGTTTGATCTTTTGCAGGTAGGCCCAGGGTCAGAGGTGTCATCCTTACATTGTTTGTGTAATCATCTGACGTCATTTGGTGGAGGTGTCCTAATGATGCCGAACAAGCTAGATTTTGATGTAGTCTTCTATGAACTCACGCGCCTCCATGAGACTGGAAATGTTGCCGTCCTTGTCACAATAATAGCGGTACTGCTATTGTACTTTTTAGTGGTAGTATTTGCAAGGAAATATGATAGAAAAGATAGGGCCAAGGTATGGAAAAGGTAGAACTTATATTTTCTATTAAATTAAGGACAGACTTTAAAAGAATGAAATACATTCAGCTGTCAAATTAAGAAAAGTAATAAAATTAAAAGCGTAGCAACCACCAATCAAGTGGAAGTAAGAATGACTAATACATTGATGTAAATATGAACAAAGAAGGAGTTTTCATTTTGTAGGAAAAAATCAGTCAATTTATTATCATTATTACCCAAAATTGGAGAACATGGTCTCGAAGGTTCGATGCACACGTGGTCGCATCAGAAATGATGATGACAGTAATGCTTTTCTACACATACTTTTAAGCATGATCTTAGGGGAGGTATATCACAGACAGATACTAAGCAGTATGGGAAGTTAGTTCCAAAAAAAAAATCAGCACAAGGTCAAAAGGTAGAAACAATGAAACAACTAGGCGATGCAACATTGCAGCTTCATTATTTTGTAACAGATTTGACAGTCCCTACGGAATTTTCGCCCCATTAAAGACCCATCTCATTTGCAATTTGGTTTCGTCCCTTTATCCTGAACAAATCGTGTTCCTTATTGCTTTACTGCTTCATTGTTTCTTGTTTACTTTTTTACTTCCCTATCGAAGGAAGGTTTTATAACCTTCAAATGCAAATCCTGCAAAGCTGCGTCACTTTTTGCTACACGGTAATGATATGAGTTGAATATATTGGTAAATCAAACTGATCTAAGCAGGTCACCGCATTTTTTTTTATTCTCAGAGTGGTCCTGTTATCCATCTACCTTCTTCTCACGACGCAAATGAATTTAATTACCAATTGACATTGGCCACGGGAGTATGGAAGAATTCTGGGACTGATGCTCGTATCGTTATCACCATTCATGGAAACGAGGCGCAAAGTGAACCTCTAATGTTGCACAAGAACACGATAGACTCAAGGACGTTGCTGGCGCGTGGAAACGAGGATACATTCAGGATTCACCTGCCGATGTCACTGGGTGAAATTGAATACATTCACATATGGCACGATAATTCTGGAAAAGATCCTTCATGGTTTCTCAGCCATGCGATTGTCATGGATCTCCAGACGGGTAGAAAATTGACATTTTTTTGCAACGATTGGTTTGCGGTTGAGAAAGGGGACGGTAAAATAAACAGAATTCTAACCCCTGTAGGTTCGCAAGAGATGCAGAAGTTTAGTTATTCTTTGAGATCGCAAGGCTCCAGAGGTTTTTCCGATGGACACGTTTGGCTTTCGGTTGTTACTAAGCCACCGAGGAGTCAATTCTCACGTGTCCAAAGGGCAACATGCTGCCTTTGTATATTGTTTTCTGCGATGTTAGCAAATGCCCTATTCTACCGGACGGACAAAGAGCCAGATCCTACCCTACAAATTGGTCCGTTAAAATTCAGCTGGAGACAAATAATGGTGGGAATTGAAAGCGCCCTGATAATAACTCCAGTAAACTTGATGATTATGACATTTTTCAAGAGGAGTGGCGAGAAAACTCCGAATAAAGTCGACGTAAAAAAACCGAAAAGCAGTCCTGCTCCCTTTTGTGGCAAGTCGTCAACTACCAGTTCAGGGGATATTGACGACGTTGATATCACGCTAAATGAAAAGAGGTCATATTTTAATAAAAAACCCCAAAGTCAGGCTGATGCCAAGAAGAAATTTATGCTCCCTCACTTCTTTATCCACGTTGCTTGGTTTTTGGTCCTTGTTACTGTTTCTGTGTGTGCCGTCTTTACGTTCCTCTTTAGTTTGCAGTGGGGAAAGGATATTTCGAACCAGTGGCTTTCCTCGATGTTTGTATCTTTCACCCAAGACCTATTTGTCCTCCAGCCTATGAAGATATTGATTATTATGGTGTTAACTGCTTCTTTGTTTCGCAATAATAATGAAACTGAAACTGTCAGCCACAATAGTAAAGGGAAACTGCAATCAGAAATAAAATCTGTCAGCGAAAATCAGAGTGTTAAAGTAGAGATGCCAAAAGAGGGTGACCTTATACTTGCAAGAGAGTACAGGACAAGGGAGGCAAAGATGTTTTCCTTTTTGAGAGAGCTTCTGGGATATCTTCTGTTTCTCTTTTTGTTTATAATTGTGTGTTACGGAAGCAGAAGTTATCATGGATATCTCATGACTATGGATCTAAAAGATACCCTTCTAGACTTTTCTTTGGTAAGTAGTTCTAAATCTTAGGGTACCTGACTGATTCTGTTAAATTTAAGCGTCCCTATTTGAGAGTCATAGGGAGACGGAAATGAGGCAGTGATGAGATCAATCGTATTCCTCGGCCAGGGCCTGGGCCTGGGTTTGCTTAGTGTAGATGATATGGGACGTTTTTGGATTTTTGTCATTACTCCGAGAGTTCCACCAAGCACATTTAAATATAACTATACTCGATATAATACTGTAATGTTTCATTTTAAAGCAAGATTTAACTACTGAAAATCCCCTAGTCGAAGTTTATTTCGGAGGTGGCTGTTACTTAGCTGCTCTTAAACACTTGTAACCACTCACATTCAATTTTAAATTTATCGCGTTATAATGACGCAGCATGTTACTCTTCCTCCTCTAAGAGACCCCGGTATGTGTCCCTTTTGATTCGTTGTCATTGCACATTTCAGAACGTTTTTTCTTGCCTAGGCTCACGATCCACGGTATTTCTGGGAATGGCTTGATACTCAGTTTGTGGACAGTGTCTACAGCAGCAACTGGTACAACAACGACAAAATCAAAAAGCAAGAGTACATTGGCAACAAGATGTCTCTTCTCTTAGGAATGCCTCGCTTGCGACAACTAAGGATACAGAAAGGTAAGTATAACATTATTTAGGTATGTTCAATCTTATAAATGTAAAATTGGTGAAAATCCTCGTCGGCGGTGAAACTAGGAGCAAGAAAATTGTGGTGATTATCTATAATAAACTTCACAATACTGTCCTGTTTTTAGTGCATATATATAGCAAATGTTAGAACCTAAAATTAATGATAGAGAAGAAAAGAAAGAGTGGGAATAAAGGAAAACATTGGATACGAAAAGAAATAAAAGAATAAAGGAAGGGTAGATTCCTCTGATTATGACAATGAAATCTTCGCCCCAGCAACAAGAAAGAATAGTACACAAAGCAATTTAGGTTGTGAAGAATATTTTTAGACATTAGTTTACATGTTTTTTTTCGTCAGATTCTTGCATTGTTCCAAGGATAGTGCGAGGCATCATAAAAAGGGGCTGCTACGACCTCTATGATTTCGATGAAGAGGATAAAACTCCTGCAAACCTTCCAGGCTGGAGGCCCTTCAGTGGTTCTGTAAAATGGGCAAATTTTTCCGAGCTATGCCCACTGCCATGGCAATATGTGCCAAACGAGGAACTCCGCAGCTCACCGAGCTGGGGTTACTTCAATTTCTATGACGGAGGTGGCTATGTTGCAGATCTAGGCTACAATAGCAGTACAGCTCAGGCAGTCATCTCCGACTTGATAGAATACGGTTGGATCGACCGGCAGACCCGCGTCGTCCTGCTTGAGTTCACTATCTATAACCCTAACACGGGCTACCTTATCATTTCAGCGTACCATTTTGAAATATTGCCCACAGGGTATGGCTATCCTTTTCCAAAGATAGACACTATTCTGCTGACAAGTACTGAAACAGGCTTTTACGAGTTTTACCTGATTTGTCAGTTCTTATTTATCATGATGGCATTCGTATTTTTCATTATCGAGATGTACAAGCTATATCGAGCCACGTGGACCTATTTAAGAGATGTGTGGAACTGGGTGGAAATTCTACGAATATTTTTGTCGGTACTGGTCGTGGTATTCTACATAATAAAGTCCAAGCTGATACTTAAATTCGCTGCTATTGTGAAGGAAAACCCATTCGCCACCGTAAGTTTTGGAGAAGCTGTTACCTGGAGCCATGCAGAAACCACCGCTTTAGCCATTGCAGCTTTCTTCACAACCTTGAAACTTCTACACGTAATTCGCTTTAATCAGCAGGTCTCCATAATGATGTCCTCTTTTCGCGTTTCTAAGAGTTTATTGTTGTCCTATTCTGTGATTTTTATCATTATTTTCGTCTCATACGCTCAGATGGGGAAGCTGGCGTTCGGCAACCACATTCATGGTTACTCATCAGTCTACAATGCATTGTTTTCAGAAGTCATCGTGTGCCTTGGCGGCCAAATGAGATTTCATGAGTTAACAGGAGTTCATCGCTTTTTGGGTCCTTTATACGGTATTTCCTTTCTTGCCCTGATGTCTTTCATTTTTATGAACTTTTTCGTGGCAATTTTGAACAATTCTTTCGAAGACGTCAAAAGCAAAACTGATAAACAATCCAAAGAATTTGAGATGACTGATTTTATACTCGAGAGAGTGTGTGAGATGTTAAGAATTAACCAGCGAGGGAAAGATGCGGGTCATAATGACTTAGTGAGAGAGGATGACATAGCTTCAACCAATTCCCTGGACAACTTCGATTTCTCTCTTAAACAAACGTCCGAGGACGGCGGCTCAAAATTTAACGAAAACTCGGCAAATCAGACACCCATTACAAAATCCCCATCACAACATTCGGCAACCAAGTTGGAGTTGGGGGAATCGATTAATCCAAAATCTTTAAAAAGAACGCCCGAAACACCCGAAAAAGTTTCTTCAACTGAGCTCGATTTGGATTCTTCATTAGTACAGTTGTTTGAAAGGATCGGTGTGTTGGCCGGTGATCTCGCAAGGGAAGATGAACGACTAGATGTAAAATTGCTCTATGTGATCAGCCAATTGTCTCTTAGAAATAATCGTGAAATTTCATGTGAAGGAACTTCATCAACACTATATCGGATCGAAGAGTCTTCCCCTGCAACAACCACTTTACAAGACAACATTGAATGTAACAGGAGCAGTGAGTCAAAAAATTCTTCAGAAGATGAAATTATGAACTTTATTAGACGCAGATCAACTCGCGAGCTACCAATCCACTTAAAAGCTGGAAGTTTTTACCATCAGCCTCAAAATAATCGAACTGGTGCTAAATGAGAAAAATAAGTATATCAATTCTACTGTAAACTTGTGTTTTTCCTGGATATACTTTTAGCTTATGACCACCTCAATATGAGCCCCATTAACAAAGTCCTTAAACATATGAGCGAAAGGTTCTCCGAATTAAACCACCAATTTCTCAACATTGTTACTATGAGCACAAGTGTTGGGATTGGCACAGTGCCTCTTTTGTAAACCAGTTTTGCTTGAACTAAATTTCCATTTTTCGTTTCAGAGAGCGAAGTATGATTTCGATTGAATGTAATTATGCTAGTCACGATCAGCACTTACGATCAAAGTAATCAAAGATACTCAAATCAAAGACTCAGAAGGGGAATTCCTTGCTTGTCTTCTGTAATGTAAGAGGTCATTGTAATATTCCTTAGCTGCAAATCAGAGTTGAACATCTAACTCAGTTGCTGCCAAGAAACGGAGGATTTTGTCTGTTATTTAGACCATTCATATATATTTTTTCTATCCTTATGGGAATATGTTAATGATGGTGAAAATCCGCTCTTGCATTCGAGTCTCCACCTAAAAATCCCTTTCACCAAACTTGTTTTTACCCACTGTTCACGCGTCTACAGAAGCAGAGGTACAGGGTCGTATCTAAATGCAGAAAGTACATTTTTAACTGATCATCACGTCATCATCATTATCATCATCACTATTATTATCGTTATCATGAATACTATCATCTTGATCATCGTCATCGACAGTGACTATATAGAAAGATTATACAGGATTTATCGACGTACTCATAAATTAATTCTAAATACTATATTTCGAGATGTATCAGCCACCCATAATTGGAGAAATCTCATTGTTTTGAAAGAAACTTGCTTTGTGTATACTTAAAACGATTTAACACTTTTTTGGTAAAGACTGACTTTCTTTAAGTAGTTGTTCAAGACGAGAAAAGAGAACAAGTTTATCTACAGTAACAGCGTTAGCAGATGCATTTAATGTATGACAATTAAAAAAGATTTTGTATGAACCTTTTTCGATCCTTTGCTGACATTTACTACAAATTTTGAATGGTGTTACAACTCCAAACGATTTCTTAACTGAGGAGTTACGAGTTACGATGAAAGAGTTAACGCTGGAAATAACTCAGTCGCCCGGTATTAAGCAGTAAATATTACGAACTTTTTTCTTTGCCGGCACAATGTTTCCAAGCATTTTGTTCTTAAACTTCGTACCTTACCGTTTCGAATGTAGTTATAGTTTTATGTTACAATCCTCTGACTGGCTTGATCACGACACCATTTAAATCCGATGGTTAAGACCTTCCCTGGCATCCATACCATACACAACTAAATTTCTACTTCGCTCTTCCTTTCCGTTGATTCTGTCATTTGACTCTAGTTCAAATAGGACTAAAATAACTGTTCAAAGGCTAGGCTTAGACAAACTTGGTTAATAAGTAAAGAATTGCCGCATTCTTGTACACGCTTGATTAAAAAAAAAAAAAAGCATTGCGAGCTTCTACTAATCACTGCAGAAAACGTTGATCTTGTATGCACAGTCTTCAAGTGTGTCACCGTTCACGCTGTAACATAACTTGAAGACATTTTGATGCGTTGTAGTGGAAGAGCATCCTTTCTCTCGGGCCTTCATGCAAGCAGCTTAAAAAACTGTACACGGCTCGTACTTGATACCATTTGTTAACGAACGGAGATAAAGTAAAAATAATTGAGAAAACACTGGAACAAACGGGGCTCCAGCTCATAGGCAGGTATATTTTCAATGAACCTCATTTTTTTTAGTGGGTGATAAAACTACTTCTATGCTTTTCAGTCGCTCCCGTTCTTACATTTAGTGTTTTTGGATTTCTCCGCTTGCAGAAATATTTCAATTTGGACATTGCCTTTGCTCGTAACTGAACTTGAATTTGCTAATGCTTTCCCTTTTTCTCTTCCATTTGGTATTATGGAAAAGGATCGGCCATTTCCTTTCCTCTAGGTCTAGATGGGAAAATCTTGACGTTTCTTTTAAGACGCGGCTATAAAATAGAGAAACAAATCAGTCTCTGGTTTGCCAGTCGGAAGTTTTAAAACGAGCTTCTTCCTTTTTTATAAACAATTTCCGGTTATTTTCTTGTTTTTCTTAAAGGAAACAAAGGTGCTTTAGGAAGGGCTAAAAATAAGTACATTAAGAAAAGAAGCAAAAGAAAATCAAACAATGCACAAAGCCAGTCGCCTTTGAAAATACACCACTTGTTCAAGTGAAGAATATATATAAACTAGATTGTTTGTCAGACTGTACCTTCAATATACCAGCAAGGTCACCTAAATTTTTCAACTGTTTTTTTCAGTTTGCAGCTTGGTCGAAGTTTGGTTGCTTTGTTCCGTGAAACACTTTGTCTATTGAGCAGCGCAAAGACGTTTCAATTCTCCAATGCAATCGGAACCAAAAGCTCCGTTGATGATAAGTTTTGAGGTACAGTCCTGTCTTACTTGGAACCTTTTTTTGTACATTCTTGAACTTTTTTTTTCTCACTCAAAGCTCATAATTGCGAGGGATCCTTTCAGCAGAAGAGAAATCACATAAAATTTATGATTTTTATGGTATGTAATTATACAACAAAAATTGCATTACATTTTTCTTTACCATGTCTCTAATATTTGACCGTATAACAGCTTCTTTTCTTTCGTTTTATTCTCCGGTGTGGTGTTGGTTATCTTTGTCTATGGATTTTATCATGAAGTCCACGCTTTTTAGAAGTGAAAGTTTTACGTTTTTTCTATTGCATCATGCAAGATGATCTTCTACAAAAGCCTTCTGTGTAATGTGAACTATGAGTTAAAAGAATGGTGATACACTCGCCTTGCAGAGAGTAGCTCAATGGGACAACCGTACTAGTATATTCTTACTTATTTTGTCATTTTAAACTTTTTTATTAAGTAACAATTTCTTACTCTTGGTGATTTATTTTAGTTTCTTGTTTGCTCTTATCCTCCAGTGCGCTCCAGTGTCTCCAGTGTGCTCTATCTCTGAGATGAGTTTCAAACTCACAAGTGTTGTTTTGCTTTTGTCTTTGGCATTTCTTTTGATTCCTGCCAAACACTTCAAAAAAGACCAAAGCAATATACAAGGTAAAATATTCTAAAACCTCTGATTTGAATTTGACTTACTTAATTCTGTTAACCAGTTTAAATCTGGCCTTTAACCCTTAGAATTTTTAAAACGAAAAGATGTGCTCCTATTTTCTCCGCTCTGACACTAGAAAAGTCAACTTTGGAAGCTCTCTACGGTGGCCAATTTACATTGTTAAATCACATGATAAAACCATGTTATTTTGCAATACCCTCTACCAAGGCAGCCCCAAAGTTTCTTGTAGATACAGAAACTTTACCAAAGAGATATGACAGAGTCAAGTACAGAGGCGAGTGGAAAAACTGTGACAACTTCCATACCAAAGCTGATTTTAGAAACTGGTGGAACTGTCCCTTTGTTGCTTGCACGGGATCAGAGGAATGCACCCCAATGAGCGGATTCTTCGGCAGATTTTTGCTCACAAATGTGAATGTAGAAGATATGGACAGAAGTGATTGCGCCTGTAAATATCTTGATGAAAAAGAGTAAGTCGAATTAATAATCAGAAAAATCCAGTGTGCAACTTTGAAAAGAGGGAAATAAAATGGCGTTGCATTTCAGTCTTGAAATATTATTTTCTTACATTTATAGTACTCGTAATGCCATCCAAAATTAAATTTTTTCTCGTCATTTTATCTATACTATTGTGCGAAAAAAATCGGAAGTGAGAAGGGGAAAATCGTCTAAGTGAGATTCTAAGAGTTAATGACAACATACATGAGACAAACAGCGGCAAGTCACCCCGAATTTGCTGTTACTCCTACTTCCATATGTTGTAGCCCAATGTGTCCTAATGGTTGTAGTGTAATTTTTTGTGAAAATATATTTCAGTTTTCGAGAAATGATTCTTTTCGTTCGACCGCTGAAATATGCAACTTTTCACCTTGAATATTATCCGAGTTGTGTGACCTCATGTAACGAATTTACCTGACCTCCGGTATTTCTGTCCACACAATCCTTTGTTTTATCATCTAAACTTAATCCCCTGTCATTATTGAAGCTGGTAAAGAAATATTAATTTTTTGGTAAATATTTTTCTCCGAGATCCTCTTTCTTTGTCGAAAAGTAGCAGAAAGCTTTTTAAAAGACAAAAAGATGGCTATAAAGTTACTGTAAAAATTTCTTTGTGTATTTGTGTTGTTCTATCTTGAGAGGAACTAAAAGTCCGTCAAAATTTACTTTCTCGCGACTATGAAAAATGCATGGTATGCCTACTTGTCGCCACCGTTTACGAGCATAAATCATTACAATTTGTAAAAAAAATCTAACATAATACTCTTGTTTATTTATGATTTTATTAGCTGTTCCGATGATCACGTAATGCTATACGAAATTCTAGCCAGATTTGAGTTCCGGTTTATATATCTTCTCCATCTTATTATATCAGTTGCATGACAAGCGTGACACATATCAAATCGTTCCAAAACGAAATTAATTTCATACCGCGTTTATATTCAAGATAATTTAGCCTGTAAAAGCAAGTATTTATGCCCTTTTCTGTATTTTTCTATGCTTCCCTCGCTCCTAAAGAGGATTCAAATAGATTTGACTGTCGTGGTGCGTTTATACCTTTTAGACTCTCACACTTTGATTCTCACTGAATGATAGTAATGATAATAATGATAATAATGATAATTATGATAATAATGATAATTATGATAATAATGATAATGATGATAATGATGATAATGATGATAATGATGATAATGATGATAATGATAATGATGATAATGATGATAATGATGATAATGATGATAATGATGATAATGATGATAATGATGATAATGATGATAATGATGATAATGATGATAATGATGATAATGATGATGATGATGATGATGATAATGATGATAATGATGATAATAATGATAATAATACTCAGAAACCAGGAGACTTCATACCCAAACCAGGAGACTTCTCGAGTGAGAACTAATGACCTATCACTAGTCTTCACAACATCTATAAACGGTTCACATCGTGCATGCAGATCCCACGTGACATCCACCTTAACGCAAATGACGTGACAAAAGGGGAACACAGGGGGGCGAAGACCGGATTTAATGCAACCACAGACATCCTCATCATTGACAAGATGGTGACCCAACTTTATAATAAGAGTTGTTTCACATGGCTGAGTGAGTGGGTGAATGCTCCAACCCACTGCATTGCTGGTGTTTTGGAGTTATGTGAACAGCTTACCCCTACTGAAGTCTACATGGCCTTCCAGACTGGAACATCAACTTAGAATGATGTAACACGCAGATTATTTAGCAAATCCTTAGAAGGTGAAAAGCATTAATTTAAGGTCAAGGTGAAAAACATTAATTTAGGTAACCATCCCAAGGAGTTGTTTATTCTAATTTCACTTAGGACATTGTGGAAAAAGTGAGTTTTTCTTCTGTCGATGTCTGTTGTGTTATTTTTCCTCTAGGGTAACGCTGTGTGTATAAATGAATGATAACTTTTGCGCTCTGTCGATGCATAATTCAATTTAAAAACATTTTTTCACATTCCATGGGGAGGTCAAAGTTTGCCATCTCACTTTATCAATGTTTGGCTTCATTGTCACCATAAGTTTGGCTGTGTTTAGTCTGTCAAGGTGTGTGCGAACATAGGCTTATTACACTTTTGACTTCTCAGGAGGGTGATCACTCAGCAGTCTGACATTGATAAGAAACACACAAATGAACATTTGCGCATACGTCCCTTTCTGAATAGAAGGGCATCTGTGTTCGGGAAGAGAAGTAACCTTGTCTTAGACTTTGATCTGTCGAACTATCGCTTTGCTTTAACTCCTTGAGTAGAATAGAAATTATAGGATTGGTCATTTTAAGTCATGATATAGAAATGGACCACAACTGAACATCTCAAAATATTTAATGGTTTATTAGAGATTTGAAAGGTTATTGCAGCTCTAATACACCTGTTAAGATTTTATCGACTCAAATACAGAAATTTGAAAAAGCAAAGTATTAATAAGCGAAAGTCAATGAATCTTTGGCCATCTTAGGTGGACTTATTAGGTTCGTTAACAATAAAAAGAGCTTGAGGATTCGGATACTCAAGATTCCAATTTTCAACCAAAGTCAGAGTTCCAGAATCATCACATCCCAGATAGTAGTCACTGCCACGTTGTTTGAACATCGTATAGCTCCAGAAGTATTCAGGATCAAAGATGGATTCACCTGGAGTCCTTGCTGCAACTGGTATTTCCTTATTTAAAAATAGCTTTGAATTAAAAGCTTTGAATTAAAAGCTTTGAATTAAAAGCTTTGAATTAAAAAGCTTTGAATTCTTTTTCTCATTGTTAAATAACGCTCTTTTCCCTTGTTGCTTTCTTAGCTACAACCTTGGAAACAATTGACATTTTTCAGGCGATTTATTGAAGTCCCTTTCTTGAACAATTTTCTATTGAGTGTCGAAAGTAATCCGGAGTTGCCCAAGGTTTGCTTTCGCTCTGTGATTGGTCCACAAACCTTGCGCCACTCTCTCAACCAACAGATGCAAAACTAAAATCATTACGATTTGGTCCTTCCGTTGCGATTCCCAGCTTTCAGTTAGTTTTGGTTTTAATTACGGCACTCAATCGAAGATTGCTTTAAGTCACCTTCGAGTTAGAAAGACAAGCTTTCCCTATAGCACTTAGTTATTTTGGCGTTGGAGGAAAAGACATTTCAGTTGGAGAAATCAGTCATTTTAAAAGGACCCTGGGGAAATATATAGAAATGGAACAATGAAAAGAATAAATTGATTATAAAAAATTTAAAAGCTATTAAATGAGAACGATTCTATGTGTATTAATTATTAGATAAAAAAGGTAAAGGAACTGGCGAATGAAGTAGAGAGAGGTGATAAGACAGAATATACCATTAGTTACCTTGGCTTTGACAGGATTTCCTTTACCATCTCCGGTCAGTGCTAACACTTTGTTTGCTCCATCTTTGAATAGCAGGGCAAATGAAGCCGTCTGACCATTTGTTTCATCAATGGTCTTCATAAGAGCTAAAAGGGACATAGAGTAGATGTAGTGTTAGATGATATTTCAATTCCTATGATAAGGGTCCAGGAAGCCGGTCTGTTAAACGAGTTCCTCAATCAACCAGCAGTCACACCAGTTACCTGACTCACAAAAGTTTTGGCAATTTCTGGTAATTATATCAACGTTCCCTGAGCGCTGCGATATCACTCATATTAGGATATTCAATTCAAATTGCTAATATTTCTTAATTAGTAGACTGCTAGTTTAGGTTACCAAATTTGGTGAATTTTTCATCCACCTTAAATTTTGGACTGTTGGATGGGAGGCCTCATTTGGCATTTATGAAAAATAACAAAAAATTGATCCTTGTTTTGATAAATGTTAGTATGCTAGGGTAATTTCTTCTCGCTGCTTTGTTATGGAAAAAGCCTCTTGTTTCCATCTGCTATCATACTATTGAGGTCAGTTGATGAGGGTTGTTTCTGCCTGAAGGTTAACATGAGCTTCACAGTAGAAGTGTCAATGAGACAGAGAGGGAAGTCATGATGAGATGAGGGGGAATGGGCAGGAACTGTAAAAAACACATACATTGACATTTCGAAGCTTTCATTTATACAGGGACATTTGGGTAGAAATTGCATACAGCCCACGTTATTCTTTAAATTAACTGAATGATATACGTACTGTCACCACCGGAGCTAAAAGTTCCACTGCAAGTCACAATGTTAGTGCTTGGATTCCTCATTACAACACCCTCATTCTTTCTGCTAACGGGGCTCCACAGTCGATAAATGGTCTTGGGGTGGATGGGATGAGGCTTAATAGGTGACTGAAAAAAATCACATAAAAGTTGATGGGTGACATTTGGTAGATACCACTAACACTCATGGATTGTTTTATTTGAGGCAAATCAGCGTTTGGCGTTTGAGGCGTTTATTTCTGGGTATCTTGAACCTCTCACTCGATCATTTGCGATCTCATCGGAAGCGGAAAAATTTAATAAATGAATAAATGAAAAACATGAATGCGCAGATTATTTCTCCAGCACTTTACGATAGAAGAAGACTTTAGTTTTACCCGGCAGCAACAGAGCATGGAGTAAAATATCAGATTGCTTTTCCATTTGGTTTTTAATTTTTCTTTCATTCTTTATCGAGCGTTGATTCCGCAAGATACGCAACACTCACTGATTTCACGGATCGTTGTTACACTGTAACTTTCCTTGCAGTTTACAGGCCTAATCCGTAGAGAGCCAAAATTCAAATTTGTTCAAACTTTGCCGAATACTCGCATCGAGGTATTACTTGTGTAACACACGCGCATGCGAGACTTATCATTACTCAAAAATAAGACACTTTAAGTTAATTACTTAATATAAATTGCTTCTTCAACCTGTCCTCTCTCTTGAATTCGAGCTCGAAGTTTCATGCCATCTTTAAGCAGTTCGTCGCTCTGCAGATCCACATAGTCATCAAATTTTTCAACGTAAACCCGAAACTTGACATCACTTGGCTCCACCTCGCGCGGTAACACATCGGCGAAGGCTTCAAGAAAACGAATGGCAAAGTCCTCGACAACTTCTCCTTTTGGACAGGAAATGATGCGCTTCGAATCCTTGTGGGTCACATGGATATCAATCTGATCGGCCATCTCTAGAATTTGGAAAATTCATGAGGATATTTCAGTGCATCATGACGGTAATTCTGTTGCATGGTGTCTTCATTTGTCATATAGTAGATCAAATATTGTACTTTTACAGGGTCAAACTGCATGGTTCCTATGGATCACAAGTGATGTTGTTGTTGATGTTTTTTTCTTTCAGCAGATGGTCCAGTAATTGAAACTGTTTCGATACGAGTACGAGTTTTGAACTGTACCTACATTTTTGTCCATAAAAATTCTTTTATCTCCAGCTCTTTTCTTATAGCGATAAGAAACTAAAATTTTTGTTGCATTTTATTATAAACTGACCTCGTATGAATACCATGCCTCTCATTTCAGTCAAATCGCAATTGCATCTTATTGAATAGGATTAATTACCTATTCAGATAAATGCATTCAGCTCTTTCTTAATGAACCCTGCCGACATTTATTATAAATTGTTCCAAATGATTCTAAACTGTTAACGTGTTGCGTGACATGGTTTCTAAA